AGATGGCTCCTTAACTAATTGTGGCTTACGGCAGCCAATCAGAGAATTGCGACAGAGTTGCGGCAGCCAATCAGAGAATTGTGACAGAGTTGTGGGTAGTTGCGGCTCTCATCTCTAATAGAAATCATACTATTAATCAAGTACTAAATTTATTATATTATTTTAGTAGGAATTGTACTATTTGAAACTCCCATATTTAATTAATTGAATTCTTAATTATGAGATTAAATAATAAATTTTTTTATTAAATAATATATATGGTTCAAATATATAATTAGATAAGTTATTATATTGTTTAACTCATACTTTTTTTTCAGCAATAAATCAAAATATTTTAATTTTTGCAGAATACAGATCTGTTAGCTGAATTTTTATTTTTCTATATTTTTTGCTAGAGATCTCTTCTTTCTATATATTATTACCATTATTCTATTAAAATTTATAATTTTGAATTTCATGAAGAGAATCATCTGACTATAAAATATTTCACAATATCACATAATTTCTGGCTTTCTATTTTTTAGCATTCTCTAATATCATATTCATAACTGTATCCATATCTCTTTTTTATAGCATTTTTCAATATATAAAATTATATTACATCCTCTAGTTTTTTGCATTTTTTAGCCTATATTGTTAATATTATAAATCATGATGATTTTCTTCTTATTTTTCTGCATTTTTCAGCACATATTATCAATAATATATATATATATATCATGATAATTTCCACTATTCTTTTAGCATTTTTCAGCATAATTATTCACATTCTTCAATATAATAAATCATATCACTCTTTTTTTAGCTATTCTTTATTACTACTCATCTATTAATGTAATAAAGAAATTATATAAAATTAGAATAATATCACTTTTAATATAGCAAAAGATAATAAAAATATATAAAATGAATGGCTCTTGAATCTTTAAAAAAAGAACAGAAATAAAATTGCATACAAAATCTTTTCTTCAAGAAAAATACTTGTAAAAATCTTGCAAAATTGTAATTCTAACATGTTAGTTAAACTCTTTCCACCAGAAAAGATAATAATTTGGATTAGATTCTTTAGTCCAGAAAAGATGAAATGCATCATTAATTGAATGATTTGATTGATTCGAGTTTAAGACTTTTAGCTAGAAAAAGTATAGAAATAAAAAGAATAAATTAGTTAATAATTAATATACAAAATCTTCTTTACTCTGTCTCATAATTATCTTTGGAAATGCCTATATTGAATAATATCCATAAATATCAGCACAGAACTTAGACTAACTGATAAAATTAGTCTAATTATCCTCTCCCATCCATCATTACAGTTCATGTTAGCAAAAACAAAATTACAAATAAATAATATAATCTGAGTTCATAATCAAAATCTTTCCAGAGTTCTTTCTAAACAAATATAAAGCACCAACAGCAAGCAAGCAAGTAACAGCCAACAAGCCAAGATTATTTTGATATATGTGTCATGCAGTTGGAAAATTGATTTTCTGACTGTATCGCCAAATCTCTTCCGAAGTGATTTCAGTTACAAATATCACATGACAAAATCACATGTCCACCAGGCTTTAGCCAACCCCCAAAAAACGGCAAAAAAAACGCATCAGCATTTTAGAGGATTAAGGGATATTACAAAAAAATTGGTATAACAAAATACGTTTTTTTTGTGTTAACTTAAAGAACTGTATTAGACGTTGATTGCAAATCTTTTTTGCATTCATCAGATTGCATGTGAGTGAGAATCAGGTGATTAATGATTAACAATGTAAGTGGTGCGTTATTTTTGCAGGCCACTGTAATTCGTCAACTGATCCCAAATTTGTTTCATCCAATCAGATGGAGTTTCACCTTTACGGATTACTGGAAATTGACAGTTATCTCTCCATTCAATATCGCTCAAAACTGGACATTTATCCGTATAGACCATATTTAATGATTAAGTGATTTATAGAGTTTTTAGAGAATAATATATTTAGCGGTTTTAGCGCGTTTTACCTATTAGATTTAATAACTTATACTCTAGATATCTGAATTCATTTTTTGTGTAGAATTTGAACAGAAATTTATCTATATAAAACTTTGCTAATTCTCAATGCGATTAAAAATAACCTTAAATGATGCTTGTAATATTGCCAGAGCTCGTAATGGTTTGTGCTTTTCAGATACATACAGTGGCCATCAAAAGTAATGCAACGCTTAAATTTTTTACTAATTATAATTAGTAAAAAATTTAAGCGTTGCATTACTTTTGATGGCCACTGTATATTAATATTTCCACACCATTGAGATGGAAGTGTTCTAAAGATCATGAATGGGATGCTCCACTTGATAGAATAAAATATAAGAATACTTGGTGTCCTGTTTGTGCAGGTCGGCATTCTTTTCATCTCGAAATTGCTAAAAAGATTGCTATAGATAGAGGTGGACTATGTCTTTCTATTCAATGTACAGCTACCAAAGAATTATTAGAGTGGAGATGCTCTAAAGGTCATGAATGGTCAGCAACCTATAACAATGTTATACATGGTAAAAATTGGTGCATAAAATGTTCGCATAGAAAGCCTTGTACTTTTGAAGATGCTATAAAGTCGCACATGCTAGAAATAGAGAATGTCTTTCTGAAAATTTTATTAATGGCGAGTCACTATTATTATGGCGTTGTAATATAGGTCATAAATGGACGGCTTGTCTTAATAGTATAAAAAAAAGAGAACATGGTGTCCACATTGTGCAGGTAATGCAAAATAACTCTTGAAGATGCAAAACAAATCGCAACTAAAAAAGGTGGTTTATGTATTTCTGAAAAATATATTAATTGTAATTTTCCATTGTTATGGCGTTGTAACAAAGGTCATGAATGGAATGCCCGTTTCTCTTTTGTAAAACATAAAAATACATGGAATGCACCACTTCGTGAAGTTAAAAATCAAAATAATTGGTATCCATTTTGTCGTCTGCATAAACGTGAAAATTTATGTCGAGAGATTGTATCGAAATATCTTGGTCCATCGTCTAAAATACGTAGACCAAAATTTTTAAAAACTCTGAACATCCAATGAGATTAGAACTAGATATTTATTACCCAGATTATGGATTTGCAATCGAAGTACAAGGCATACAGCACGAAAAATATCACAAATTCTTTCACGGAGGAGATCCCAATAATTTTATTAAACAACAAGAGCGGGACCAACTCAAGAAAGAATTATGCGAAGAAAACTGGATCGTTTTAAAGTATGTCTGGTATTACGAAGACCCATATATAGTTATTCCAGAGCACCTTCGAGAATTGGGTCTCATTGAATAGAAATAAAACTTTAAATCGTATTTCGAAGTTCGAATAATATTGTTCTCGATCAAATTCATGTGACTGTGGGACAATTTGTCACCGCACTTTATTTTTCCGACGCACAGTTACACACCGCATACACGCATACACTGCTTAAAAATCATAAGCCCGGATTGTGGGTAAACCTTTTATTTTTCATTGATTACATGTCACAATACAAGTTTTAATAATCTGATTGTGAATTTACAGAAAAAAAGTATATCAATCTTTTCCCTATTCTAAAAACGTCCATACCAGAATGGACAGTTTCTATGGCAGTCACGTGTCTTGCTAACAAGCTGTTTAAATTTTGGTGTTTCAAGGGTATCGCGTTTGAAACTTGCTTTTGTTGATGGTGGACTTGGATTACAGACCTTAGCATAGAAAGTATTAAAGGATTTGTGAAAAATCTCTCGTACTCCTAAAAGCACATTTATTTCATCAACAAAAGACAACATCTCTTTCACTGAAGCCGGAACTGAAAATTGCCCGATATGGATCATAACATACGTTCCTTGAATGAGATCCATCATATAGAAGTCTAATGTATAATCTATAAAAAGCAATGTCCCAAAAAGTTGGCCATAAAAATCGTGGGAAAAAAGCAACTATTATAATTCCTTACCAACACATTGAAAACCTAGCAATTTTATGTCAGCACCCAAGTCTATGGCCGAATCAAGGCAGTCTTTCATAAAAACACCAACACGAATTAGATCATTGCAATTCTTATAGACATTATTTTTTTCTAAAGGTGGACTGACTTCACCCACAAATATAACACCACTTTTCTGTAGCTGGTGGATAGTAGATACTACAAAGTCCGGTTGTTTGTTTCTTCCTTGTGATTTCCTTGCTTTACTTTCATCAAGACCCGTATTGGGCCATTCAACAATATGTTTGTCTGGATCATGAAATATTTCCCTCATGATGCGGTCCAGATAATTTGTAATAAACGTTATTTCGCTTGGCTCATTTTTAATCTTTTCAGTTGGCAACGTTTTCAAATTTTCCAAGATAACGTAATCCATGGTCTCATCCAACATTTGATCGTTTGTAAGTTCTGCTAGCAGTGATTTTATGGCACTGCGACGCGACTCTTTTATTGCTTTCTTGATCACATTCCTAAAATTTGATTCACATTCTGAGTCTAATTCTGTTTGCTGAACAGGTTTGAATTGTTGGTGGACTTCATCAAGCAGAGGAGAACTGAATACGTTGACCATCGTTTTTGAGTAAGAGCCTGGAATAAGCAGAAAAATCGAAGACAGTGCCAATATTTCATGTACGTTTGATTCAACGAATAGACCATCAGTCTTTGCGATATTTACTGACTCATTCTGATATTTCCGGAATAATTGAGATATATTGATTTCTCCTATCTTAAGATCATTTTCTGGATCCCCATCATTGAAGCACAGTTCATCTACATCATCAATTATTATAATTCCGTCCTCTTCCACTACAAATGGATTATCTATTGGCAATGAATGTAATGTTGGACTACATGGCGATGGTGTAGAGTATCCATCTTGATGTTGTTTTTTTATCATCCGTTCCTCATTATAACAGATATCTCGTCTTTTTCTTAAGAGATAAGATTTGTTATCCGTTGCTAACTCATCCTAGGTGACATACGAATAATCATAAAAGTTTGTGTTGAACTAGTATCTCAGTGCTGTGTGACAGCAGAATACCGTTTGTACCGTTTCCAGATATCTCTAAAAGAAAAGGGTAAATGAACTTTTTTACCTTGTTAGTATCCTCCGCTTCTTCTTGTTCATCATTTCTGGATTTTTTTGCTTCATTTCTTTCCAAAAGATTTAACTGAGACTTATGAACCATCCTTGAGGTATCGTCTAAACGTTCGTTTCCCGTTTGCAAAAAATTCACAATACCTTCAGCCTGAAAATTTATTAAAATTCATTATTTGCTTCAAATCTATGATCCTGAAAGTTTAACCACGCGTTACCTCGGCTATTTTTCGTTTTTTATCTAATGTAACGAGTTTTTGGTCCAGCTTTTTGTCTTCCCAAAAATCTTTAACTTCCTCCGATACCTTTTCATTCTAGATGAATATTAATCTTGCAATCATCTATTTTATTATTGTAATTAAATTTCTAAACTATCATAATGTATCTAAAGCGGATCCGAAGCCTTTCATATACGTAGCCTAAGCCAGTATACTAGCTAGTAGAGTACCATTGCATTTTCAACGGAGCCGAAGCCTTCATATACATAGCCGAAGCCAGTATACTAGTTGAGAATACGATACAACACTCGCTTGCTGGGATCCCGCAGGCCAAAGCTATTGGGCAACAAAACGAATGTCTACGCCATGAACCACAATAAAAGCTGACTTACTGCAAAATTTTCCAAAGCTTTTTCGACTGTTTTATATTGCTCATCCATTTCCCTGTAGCTTCGTTTTATTTTTGTAATTTCCGAAATGTATTTACTTTGAATCTTGTCCTTTTGGAGTAAATCTTTTGTTGTTTGTGAGAGGTAAATCAAATAGGTAATCAACGAAGGCTTCGAAATCGAACTCCAGTATGCTGTAAATTTTAACGAGCATAATGAAAATACTGATTCCTTAGGTAAGTGATACACCAACATTTTACCTGGTTCGTGTAGTTCTTTGCAGACGGTTTCGTTTAGTTTCATTTCGACTGTGCCCAATAACCTTAAAATCAACCTTTTTTATTTTTGTATTATTTAGTCACGCGCGTTGCGATTGTGCGATTGGTTAATCAGAAACTTTATTTATATGACGTAAAAAAAATGCCAAGCTTCATATCATGAATGAACGTTTAATATTCAGAGTCCGATAAAATACTTTTTTACGCGCATACAAATAATTAAGAAAAGCAAAATCATATCTTTATTTCTTCAAACTTGACTAGTCAAGCTATTTTTGTAAAATGAATATTGAGAGTAAGGGACCGGCTAAATGATATAAATGATTGAGTAGCAGGATGTTTCAAGGGGCATAAAAAACGCCTGCTTGTTAAACCTGCCGAGCCCTAACCCATATAATGGCAGTTCCTTCCCTGCTACTCAGTAGTGGTGTAAATGACTGTTATCTATCCAAGCACCTATCTTTTCTAAGTTTTCGCTTCTTATACTATTCCCATTGTAAAAACTCTTTATTGTATCTTTTCCAATTGCTCCCATCCCAAGCCTAAGAATATCAGCCGATACAACATTACACATCTGATCCAAAGTATGATCATTCGCACCCTTAACTCTATCAAAGATAGCCTTAAACTGTTCCCGGATTACAGAAATGATATTCGCGAGTTTTTGGCTTGAGTTTGAGGAATTTGATGAACGAGCAGAAGATGACGAAGCCTCTGATGAACGAGTAGAAGATGACGAAACCTCGCTTTGCTGGTCTGATAAACCAGTAGAAGATGATGAAACCTCGCTTTGCTGGTCTGATCCTCTCCTATTAGTACTCTGCACGAGGCAGTGTCGTTGATTAACTTCGGTTTGAAGAATTGTGATAGATTTATTGATTGATTCGAATTCGGTTGCTACTCTACCAAAATTATTATGGTAGGTTTGAAGAACTTGTTCGATCTCATCAAGTCTCGCAGTAGAAGTATTTAGCATTATCAAGATTCTTTGGACCTCCGCTGTAAAGTTTTCATCGCGTGAGGTAAGTTCAGCGTTAAATTTGGCACAGTAATCGGTGAGTTTGGTTATGAATCTAGCATCACGATTGGCAAAAACGTGGTATCACGTGCAGAAGGGTAGGAATTATGCTTGATGTCGATGTCTTGCTTGGTGATACGTGAAAAATAAAACGTGGCACCAATGAGCAAGTAAATCGACGAACATCAATAGGCCGGCGGAATCCCAAAAATGGAGCGATTCCCGAAACAGCAAGCGATGACATCTATAAGTGGAAATTGGTCGATTAGCATATATACACGAATGTGGGGGAGGTGTCATAGCATATAAACAAATAAACAAACCTTAATCGTTAGAAATTAGATATTATTTCAAGTGTATGAATCTTTTTATTTATCGTGGATAAAATTTATTAGTGGAGCAAGCAAAGTGCTAAAATTTGTTAATTGTTTTATTCTCCAAAATTGCTAATTATTATAACGAAGGAGTAAAGGGGTCTCAGATATTTTTCTTCGTCTTTTTATATAAAAAATTATAGATCAGAATTTATTTATAGACTTGGACGGGAAAGGACCAGAAATTGCCAGAACTTTTTATTACAAAGCAGGCCTATAGGGACAACTCAGGTACATTTTTTCAAATAAAGGTCATAGGTAACCCCCATGCTTTACGTGTTAATTAGATTAATAATGTCTACTCTTGCCATATTGACATCAGCAATTGGACGTTTGTTACTCGTATCACCAACTTCAACCATTATTACAAATCAATTGATCTTCTAACTAACCCGATAATTTCTTTTTATAATAGTTTCGCCTTTGATCTGCGTTCTTTAATGAATGGAAGTGCCAAAAGGTATCTTCCAGGATTTGTCGATTACTTTTTGCCAGAATTAATGCGTGACCTGCTAATTGTTGGAGTGCCCTGATTGTTACTATTGATTATATAATACGAATGTTCGATCAACACATCACATGCTATATCACAGAATAAAATCGAACTTCTGCATAGTAACAAAGTGAAACAGAAAAAAAATAACAGATCATGTGACTTCCGATCACATTTTGTCTTTTCAGAGTTCCCACCCATGTAGATCTCCTTTTTTGGAATTAGTTTAATATATAATGATAATATTATATTTGGTATTACATGTATTAGTTTAATAAATAATATATTAAATTGTTATTAACATCTGATAAAAAAGATGAAGAAAAAACATAATACTTTTTGCATTAACATATAAACTGTAAGATATTAGCATTTAATGTAACCAAAAAGCTAATCATCAATCTTTGAAGTATTACATGATGTATTACTAAGTTCTTGCATTAAGAACTTTATAATATCCATCAATTTCTTGTACAAGTAACTTGATTATTCTTTCAAATTCTTATATGAATCTATTATTTTTCACATTTTCTTTCAACAAAGATATTTCTAACTCAAATATCTGCCTAATTCTATTTATTACATCTCTATTTTGTTCAGAATCTTGATATCAATTAATGATAATATGAGAATTACTTGTAGATATCATGAGTATGCTAATAGTTTACATATATCTATTTCAAGAATTATTATGTATGCTGATTTATTGACAGTAATTCATATCAAAGAAGATAAATAAATAATTATGTTAGCATTTTGTAAAGACAAAATGAGAAAAGAAATCTGGTATCAAACTGATTTTCTTCATAACAAGATGTTTGCATATTAAAAAATGATTATTTAGAAATGTAAGACATAAATATATTTAAGTTTTTAGATATATATTATATCTTTTTTTCTTATTAATTGATCTTTGACTAAGCTTTAACTATTCTTGTTTAAAAGTATTCCATTAGATGAGAAATATATATTCATTAAGGTAAAGTGCTATTATATCCTTCATATCTTTAACTAATTGTTATGTTAGTATTTAAGTTAGTTAATTAAGATGCAGATGATTATAATTATACTTATAATTATATTTGAGTATTCTCTAATAAGTCTCAGTAATCATTATTATCCAAGTAATTAACATTATATTGGTATATGAGACATAGGTAAATAACTGCCAATCCTTATGATTGTATCAATTATATCAAAGATATCTTCATACTGTAGTATAATTTTTTTGCCAGTAGTATTAATAAGTCTCTTGAGTACAAAGTGTATATAGTTTTGAAGATATGAGAAATTGATCTGTATTAAAAGGTATCAAAGGATACAAAAGAGTGTGTTTTTTTATTATTTATAATATTTTCTTAATTTCCTCTTTAATGTATTTACAGATTTCTTGATCTCTAGAAAGTCATATTAGGTTGATAAAGCTAAATTATCAATAAGCTTCACTAAATTTTTCAGCTATATATTGACTTCTATAAAATTTTTGCTCACTTAATTTTTTTTCTATAGCATACTTAATATATTATAAATAAAGCTGAATATTTAATATTCATGATTAAGCTTCTTGTATCATTACTATCTTTCTAATATCTTTATTTTGTAATACTTCAAAGAATTCTCATAAGATATTAATATAATTATTTATTATATTTGCTGAATCAGATACTTAGTCTTTTAATACAATATAAGTATCTAGAAAAAGATATGCTAGAGATATATCATATCCATCACAATTATTATTTACAGTAAATAATTCAAATTTTTGCTAGTTTATTTTGAATGTCAAGTTTATGATGAGTTCTGTGATATTATTTTTTCTAATCTTATTCATGAAAGATATAATAAATCTCAGACTACAAATAAAGTTATTTTCAAGATAGAAAATAACTTTGAACTCTTTGCATTAAAGTATATCCTGCTCAATGAAGTTCTTTGCAGATTTTAGTTGATTTGCTATATCAGTTACATATTACTACTTTAAGAATTACATAATCCAATAATATACCTATTGATAGGTATGTATTTTTCTATCTATTAATTTTTCTCTGTAAATTTATTTATAGATTTCACTTTTATGCAAACTGTAAATCACATTTTTCTTGATTCATACTTTGACATTTTCTGATAGATTAGATCTATAATATGTGAGGTATATATATTTTTCAAAATACTAAATAATCAACAAAACTCATTCTTCATCAAGATCAATCCTGATCATAATTGAATTCTCATAATTGAATCTTTGAATTGCAAGTTTAACTTTGCTAATATACTTAACTGGCTAGTCTCTTGATCACTTGAATTGATATTCTCTTTATTGATTGCAATAAAAATAATATGTCACATATTTCTTTTGCTAATCATTTTTAGTATGTAAATAGAAACATTTAATTATCTAATGATATCTGGAAAGTCTCTCAAGAGGATCAAGAAAACTATTGAGAATATATTGATAGGTTTCTATAAGATTATTTTATTAATGATTATAAGATTACAAGATAAAATGCAATATGAATAAGTTTTAATTTTATAACTTATAATTGTTTTTATTATTTAAAAGCATTCAAATCTGAAGATAAAAATACAGAACAAATAGATCATATTTATAAGAAAGAAATGAATATAAAATATAAATAAATTAATAATAATTTCTAATTAAAATACATATAGGTTGAACAGAATTAATTAACTTAATTCACGTCTCCAAAGAACAACTAATCATAATCTAATAATTAATAATAATATAAATAATAATATAAATATAATAATAAGAGAAATGAATAAAATTAAAAAAAAATATTAATAATAAAAGTAATTAAAAATATTAATAATCTAAATTAATAATTATGATACACATAGTGATCATCTGAG